GTGACTCTATGCAGCCTGGTGGCCTATGAACTAAAGTTCATGTTAACTGCCTGCCACTCCACATCCCCTCCCCACCCTACCCTAGCACAAATCCAACATACTGTAGTGAAGCAGGGGCAGGAGAGCTTCCCATCTGACAAAAGATAAGGAAATACACAACAGTGATTGTCCAATGACAGCAATGAAATCCTGATCATGGCGGGCGCTATGAAGACACTCTGTCTTGGCAATGTTCAAGATTGCATGATTAAACCCTTACTATGCATCTGAAAATAACTTCTTTGTCCTTTATTCTAACCTGGTCCTTTGGGCTCTACACACTGGGAACTTCTTCCTTGTCTGTTATCATCCGTGGCTAAATCATATGAAGGAGTATGACTAGTTTCTGCTTGTGCAATAAGGGAATATGGAAACTATTTTACAGGCCATTTTTAAGACTAAGTTCTGGGTTTATTCACCAGTACAGTTCCTTTAGAAACAATAGGTTTCAGATCTTTAGCCTCCATTTGTTACATGTGCCAGTGTTCATTCACATCTTTATCAGTCTGTCCAGAAAAACAGACAATTCCAGGTCTTTCAAATGGAGGAAATTTAACACAGGGAATTAGATACACTTGTGATAGAGCAAAGAAGCCATACAAATGATGTGAATAAACCCAGCAACTAACAAATTCAGAGAACTGCTGCATATCCAAGGGATTAAAGGGCAATCGGAAGAAATGATATTATCAGATATTATACAAGCTCTTATCTCTATAAGAGACTTATGAGCTCCTTGGAGGATTTGAGACCTATATTCTTTCATATATGTCCCTACATAGTGAGCACTTATATGTTTAATTAAACAGAGATAAACAGTAAATCCCTCCACTGACTTCACTTAGAAGTACCTATTAGAAAACTAAAATGTTGAAGATATAATGGTATTCAATACTGGGATGATCCCTAATTTGTGGGTCAGAGGCAAATATTTATTTAATAACCCATCATCAGCATTTAGAGAAGGATAAATTGCCAAAAGTTTCAAGTATTCTCTTTTTGTATAAAATGTTCAGAGTTTGGAACAATACCAATTTTTGTACAAACCTAGGAAGAAGAATTAAAAAGGAATAAAGTTTCTAGGTGGCTCATGCCAGATTTTTAAGTAAAAGGATGTGGTAGGTAGAAAAAGAAAGAAAGGGAAAGTTTTCTAGGTAAATAGTAGCTATAGCTACAGAAGATATGTATCTTAGTCTTTGATTATTTTTCTGGAGTCACCTTCTAGTTGATAATCACATTCCTTTGTCTACTGGTTTGAGCCAAAAAATTATCAACTTATTTTCCTTTACTGTTATTTAAGAATCTGTAAAATACCCCATTGGATATTTTAGCAGTCAAACAGAACTAATTCTAGAATATGATCATAAGTTTTTAAAAAATGCCAAATGCCATTTAATCTGTTCTAGGATGTGCCATTATATGCTTAACTTTACAGATATGCTGGACTCAGCTATGGCTTTTAGGATCTAGTACTTGAGAAGAGTCTCAAAATAGCAGATGGATTTAACAACTTGTAAGTTGGGAATAGTTCAGGAAGACTTTATGACTATGTTGTCTTTTCTAAAGAGAAAAAGCCTGCCGGAAGACTTTTCAGTGAATATTTTCACTTATACATAGAAATGAGGACTTTTTTTTAGCAGAGCATGCCAAAATCAGTTGCCACGTTGTGCTTTAGAAACATTTTAGTATACTAAGCATGTTTATAATGCTTCCATTTACGTAGAAGTTTCAGGTCTATTTTTTACATTGGTTTGAAATTAGAATGGCTTAAAACATGATAATACCCCATTTTAATATATGCATTAAGGCTTGGATATAGACTGTGCCTAAATAATGTCATGACCAACTAAAAAGGGGAAAACACATTCTCTTCTTTACAGGCATACCTTGGAAACACTGCAGGTTTAGTTCCAGACTACCACAATAAAGTGAATAATCGCAATAAAGCAAGTCAAATATATTTTTTGGTTTCCCAGTGCACATAAAAGCCAAGTTTATGCTATGGTCTGTTAAGTGTGCAGTAAGTAGCATTATGTCTAAAAATATGTACATACATCAGTTAAAATTACTTTATTGCTAAAAAATGCTAACCATCATCTGCTTTTTCAGCAAGTCATAATCTTTCTGCTGGTGGAGTTCTTGCCTGGATGTTGATGGCTGCTGACTGATCAGCATGGTGGCTGTTAACAGTTGGGGTGGGTGGCATGGCCATTTCTTAAAGTAAGACAACAGTGAAGTTTTCTGCATTGACTTCCTTTCCTGAACAACTGCTCTGTAGCATGTGATGCTGTTTGATAGCATTTTACCGCCAGCAGAGCTTCTTTCACAATTGGGGTCAATCCTCTAAAACCCTGCCACTACTTTACCAACTAAGTTTATGTCATGTTCTACAGCACTTGCTGTCATTTCAACAATCCTCACAGCATCTTCACCAGGAGTAGACTCCATCTCAAGGAGCCACTTTCTTTGCTCATCCATAAGAAGTAACTCGTCACCCATTCAAGAGATTTGGTGAGATAGCAGCAATACTTCTCATGAGACTGAAATAATTTTTTTCATGGGATTCATCAGATTTTTTTTTTCATGCTATTGTAGCAATTCAGTCACACCTTTGGGCTCCACTTCTAATTCTCTTGGGATTTCCACAACATCTGCAGTTGCTTTTTTCACTGAAGTCTTGAACTCTTCAAAGTCTTCCAAACTCATGTTAATGTTGATATTTTGACCTCTTCCCACAAATCATGAATATTCTTAATGGCAGTTAGAATGGTGAGTCCTTTCCAGAAGGTTTACAGCTTACTTTGCCCAGATCCAGCAGAAGAATCACTACCTGTGGCAGCTATAGCTTTATGAAATGTTATTTTTTGAAAGCCATAATTACTCCTTGATCCATGTCCTGCAGAATGGATGTTGTGTTAGCAGACATAGAAATAACATTAATCTTGAATATCTCTATCCAAGAACTTTGACCAGGTGCATTATCAATGATCATTAGTACATTGGAAGGAATCTTCCAAGCAGTAGGTCTCAACAGAGGGCTTAAAATATTCAGTAAACCATGTTGTAAAGAGATGTGCTGTCACTCGGGCTTTATTGTTCCATTTATAGAGCACAGGCAGAGTAGATTTAGCATAATTCTTAAGGGCCCTAAGACTGGCAGAATGGTAAATAAGCATTGGCTTCAACTTCAAGTCACCTGCTGCATTAGCCCCTAACAAGAGAGTCAGCCTGTCCTTCGAAGCTTGGAAGCCAGGCATTGACTTCTCTCTAGCCATGGAAGGCTTGGATGGCATGTCCTTCCAATAGAAGGCTGTTTGTCTACATTGAAAATCTGTTGTTCAGTGCAGCACCTTCATTAATTATCTTAAGTAGATCTTCTGACTAGCTTGCTGCAGCTTCTACATCAGCACTGGCTGCTTCCCCTGCACTTCTGTGTTAGTGAGATAGTTTCTTATGCCTCAAAACGAATCTCTGCTAGCTTCGGTCTTGTCTTCTGCAGGTTCCCCACCTCCCCAGCTTTCATAGAATTGAAAATTTCTTGCTCTGGACTAAGCTTTGGCTTAAGGGAATGTTGTGGCTGATTTCATTTTCTGTCCAGACCTCTACAACTTTCTCCATATGAGCTATAAGGCTGTTTCACTTTCTTATCTTGTGTGTTCACTGGAGTAGCACTTTTAATTTCCTTCAAGAACTGTGTTCACAACTTGGCTAACTGGAGTAAAAGGCTATTTTTCAGTCTATCTCAGCTTTCCACATGTTCCTCACTAAGCTTAATCACTTCTAGCAGCTGATTTAATGTGAGAAATGTATGACAAGATCTTGTTTTTCACTGGAACACCTAGAGGCCACTATAGGATTATTAATTGGCCTAATTTCAATTTTGTTTTGTCTTAGGGAATATGGAGGCCCCAGGATAGAGACAGGGGGACTGGTGGTTGGTGGAACAGTCAGAACATGCACATTTATCAGTGAAGGTCAACGTCTTATTTGGGCACAGTTCATGGTGTCCTAAAATAATTAATAGTAGTAACATCAAAGAGCACAAATCATAGATTGTCATAACATAACATGAAAAGGCTTGAAATATTACAAGAATTACCAAAATACAACAGATATACAGAGTGAGCAAATGTTGTTGGAAAAATGGTGCTGATAGACTTGCTCAACCCAGAATTGCTTCAAACCTTCAACTGGTAAAAAAAAAAAAAAAAACCACAGTATCTACAAAGCACAATAAAGAGGAGCACAATGAAATGAGGTTTTCCTGTATATGGCATCTAACACCCAGAGAGCTTTTCTTTCCTATGTTGGCTTTGTGGAGCTACAGTGTTGTGAAATAATCACTTGGTAACTTGGCAGTTTTATTAAAAATAATTACTCTGTTTCAGTCATTTATAATATCTTTATAGTTCTGAAAACAATAGGAAACAATTCTTTGGTATTGATCTATAGCAGAAAATGTGCTAGGACCAGTCTTTCCATCTCTAATTGAGTTGATTTCCTTTAATACCATTTGCAATGAAAGTACTAAAACATGAGGTATATTTTTGCTGCTTATAATAATTGGTTTTGCTTTTTAAGCATGCTGTCTAAATTTCAAAGAATATTTCTTTCTGAACTTCTTTGTCCTGAGGAATTTAGAGTATTCTTGAAATTACAGGTGTCTATTAAGTATTTTTCAACTGTCAATTCAACTGTAGCCATTAAGCTATTAATTCATTATAAAGTGACACAGAAAGAAACTCATTATGTGATAATATGAAAACACAAATTTGTTAAAAAAAAATAGCCAAATGAGTCTTATTGGAAACACATCTGTTGTGTGAGTCAAATGGTTTTTCAGACACATTTGGACATGACACCTTCTTTTTAGACAATAAACCGTATAGAAAATATTTCAGCTCCAATCCTTAAATACTCTGTATTCTGCATGTAAATGTTTTCTTTTTTATCCTTTGCAGGTGGTATTATACCCAACATCTAATAGCTCCAAGTCAGCTGAGTTGCACCGAATGATAGTTCCAAAAAATAGCCAGGACTCTGACTTAAAAATCAAATTGGCAGTGCGAATGGATAAACCACCACATATGAAACATAGTGGGTGAGTGTGTACTTGAAGATGTTTTTCTCCTGAATTAATTGGATTCCATATCAATGTATCGTTTTCATCAATGTATTGAAAGCCATTATGTCAGGCTTTTACATGGCGTTCTCCCCAAAGAATGACATACATAAGTTAATTTTTTAAACCTGTGGACATCTTTATAGCTAAATACATGGGTATTAATGTAACTGTTTTACGCTAACATAATAGTGGTAACTGAGTGCATTGGTATTACATCACTTACACTGATAAGGAACAGTGATATATGGCAAGAACATCTAAGAAATACTTTTCAAAATGCAGTAATAATTGACACAAATCTAGCACTAAGTTCCCCAGAAATAGTTAAGCTTACACAGAATATTAAAATAAAAAGTTATTCAGATATAACTTAGGAGGCTGTACACATTTGTACAGGAGGGATGTGAGTGTACATCCAACACATGGGTGAAAAACTAAATCAACAGTAGAAGCAGCCAATGCTGGCGGATAAGCCAGGGACTGTCTCCTGGGAGTGCTGTGGGCCAGCCAGCCTGCATCTCTGGCAAGGTTCTTTTTTCCTGTAGCTGGTGAGGTAGCAAGTCTGAACTCCTGAGTATAACAAAATGAGTTTTTTTTTTTAAACTCTGGTCTTTTTCAGATAACACATTGGGACTCACTACAGCCAAATCCCAGCCATAGGGTTGTTAGCCATTAGAAACAAATGTGGCCATTTACTATGGAGTGAAGCAGTTGCTAAACTGGCTTTTCCTGAGTTTAGCAACAAACATAAGCATTTAAGAGAGTGCATTCCTGTGCAGAGAGGTGTCATCTGCTGGCTTTGGGGCCAGACCGCCAACAGTGTGGCGGAGCTAGTGGATGAGTTGACAGGATGAGGATGCCTTGGATGACCATTAGAGGAAGCAAAGTTAGGCTCTGAGTTGGGGGCAGCCCAGAGGTATATGTGACAGGATGAGAACATATGGCTTCTTTGGTTTGCGTGGGCAGTGTATGTGGTATCAGAACTAGTCTCCTGGGGGCAGAGCACTTCAGAGGGTGGGCTCTTAGAAGGGGAACAGTCATTTTGGAAACACACGTTATGGCATCTTTATGCAGCAGTGCAGTCTGTCACTCAGCTCATAATGCAAGTGGAGTTCCTGGGGTTTGTTATTTAAAGTTTTTTCGTTCATTCATTCATCTACCTGCTTGCCACTGATTGATGCAGCAGATGTGTGTTGAGCATGTACTCTATTCCCACCGGAACAAACCTCAGTGAGATACCATTCCAGGCCTAAAGGAACTGGCTAGTCAGGATTCCGGCTTGTATACAAGTTAATTATTATACTGAGTAATAAGTGCTAGAAGAGAAGACTGGGAACTGATGAAAATACCACCTGATTCTAGACGGAGTTTGTCATAAGTCTCACAAGACACCTGTCTTTCAAGAGGAAATGAAGGATGAATTCAGGTGGGCAGTGGAGAGGAAGGGCATCCAGTCGCATGGCATAGTGGGCACATGGGCGGGAGCTTTGGAAGGGCTGTTAGCCAGTGGCGACAAACTCAGGGAGTAGGCATGGTGCACTGTGAGACTAGAGATAGAGTACTACTGCTCTAAAGTGATGAGGGACTAGTAGAGCCTAGGGTTAGATGTAAAAGAACGTTCCAGGCATTGAGTTATTTTCCTGTTTTTAACTCACTGTCTTTTAATGATAGCACAAGAAATGGGAAGCTGTGTATTATAACACCAGTATAGCCCTCTTGCATGGCACCTTGAGATTGTCCCAAGAACCAAGATTGAACTAGAAGTTGGGCACATGGCAAGTTCTTCAGCCTTTAGCATCTGTGGAAAGGCCTGCCCTAATCCTTGGCAGTTTCCTGCTTTAGAATGCTCCAGGGCAGGTGGGACAATCCAGCCCCCTTCCCAGACTTGTCATTTTGCTTTTGGGTTTTTGGTTGCGTTGCTTTTTTATCACTCCTTTGCAATGACGGAGAAATGGTTTGTGTCACACTTGGAGCCTTTGACTGAATCATAATCCCCAGATTGGCTCTGCAGCTGACTCTTTCGCCCAAGACTGTAGATGGAGGGGATTACTAAAGAGAATATGTCATAGCCTCTCAATCTGTGAAGAACTCACCTTGGGTTCAGATCAGGAATGCTTCAGACCCCAGATATGTCAATCATTATCTATCACTGCTGAAAGGTAATAACAGACTTTTCAGACATGCAGGTATCTCTGCAGTCTATAGTAGGTAAAAGGAGGAATTCTAGAACTGAAAATATCTGTGATGCTGGTCTGCTCGGTTATGTTGTCTGGCATAATTAAGAATATCATACCTCATAATAGTGATTCAATAAAAACTAATTTAATTTAATACTAGTATTAGGCATAATAATGATCAGAATTAAAAGTTTTCAGCATTGCTGTAAAAGCAGTCATGTTTCAGTTTCTTGGTGCCTGGGAGGTTTTTAAATATTCTGAATATCACCCCAGTGTACAGATATATATGGAAGAACATGATTTGACCCACATCTTTTTCTGAGATAGTTCCTAAATGGATTATACCGAACTTAATTACATTTAAGAAGAGAAAGTCAACTAACCTTTTTCTTCCTAGTGCTCTGTCATACACCAAAGCAATAATGTAATAAGAATAAGAGATTAATAGCATTTTCCTTTGGGGCTGGGTTGTGTTTTGTCAATAATTCATCTTATAATAAATAATTAACATGAATAATGAATAATTAACATGAATAATGAATAATTGAAAAAGAGACAAGTCAAGTTAAGAGAAGATTAATTTATGTTTAAAATATGGCAAATTCCTCCTACAGATAGTTGTCAAGTAGATTAAACAGGGTGTTAGGGATTTTTATCTTCAGAGCACTTTTCAGAATAGACCAAAATCCTTTGGAAATTTAGTCATGAAAACCTATTTTGTTTTAATGTGAGTACCAAGTAGATCTCTCCTATGTGAGCTATTTAAACATCTATTTTTTTAATTCATTTGTCATGAATATATGGCACATGTGTCGTCCCTAAATAAGTATTTTATCATTGTTATCTATATTGTGTGTTCCCAACTATGCTGTGAGTTTCTTACACCTGTTTGAATCCCATGCCTCCCACAGTGTGTAATCAAGGATAGATATTGTACAAATAATGATGATGAAAATGACAGTGTGTTCCTTAGAGTTCTAAGGAAAAAAGAAGAATGGCAGTAAGCTGTATCTGTAAGTCAAAACTTAAGGGGTTCTAAACAAAATGTATAAGGGATAGAATATAATTTTAATATGAAAAATACCTACTAAATAAGTGATATTCTGTTCTCAGCTGTTGCATTTTAAATGACCATTTTTGAAGCAGAAAGGAAAATATGTCTGATAGAAAGCTCATGCTTCTAACAAGTAATCAATCTGTGGCTACGTATTATAGGCTTTTAGAATAGGATTGACTACATGCAATTGAAAATAATTTGAATAAAATAAACAAAATGATGATTTCATTCTTTTAAAGCCAAGCTGGACATTACCACATGACATTATGTGGTAAAAAAAAAATGGGGTTCATTTGTTCCTTTGGTATATATCCTATAGACTCACTCATGTAAATCTGTTAAATGAATTACCAACTAGATTTTGGATAGTTAAATAATTCATGTCCAACTTTGGAATTTATTTTCCAGCTTTTTTGGGTAGCTGGAAGACAGCAGTATTCTTGAACAAATGAACTATCCTTTAGCGTAGCCTAGTGGCTAAGTAATAGTATTAACTGAAAGCTCGGAAATACTCTCTCTTTTTATTAAGTTTCATTTTCCTAATTCACATGTCACTTTCTCAACCCAAAGAAAGGCAAAATAAAATGTAATAAAACAAATGATTGTTGTGACAGTTAAATCTACAATTGAAAAGGAGAAAGAAGAAGATTAAATTGGCTGTCACAAATATGCGGAGGCATCATGCCCAGTATTTGTCAGAAGTCTGTGTGCAACTGATCATTTTCTAGTAAAACATGAATGAAAATTATATGAATATATAGCTATAGAAGAGTGTTGTCACGGTTAAGAATTGGTAAGGTAAAATTGTAGCCAAACTGCTGTCATAAAAATCTCATATTTCTCTTTGTGTAGAGTCATATTTGCCTATTTAAACATTTGTTGAATGAATAGATGTATTGAAATATCTCAAAATTATCATATATAAAGCTCTCCATTTAGTTGACATCATGAAGGTAGAAAAGGCACTGGGCCTGTCTTGCTGAAGGAGAGAGACCACAGTTCAAGTGTCATTAGGAAGAACGGTGAGCACCAGGCTGACTTCATTACTGTTTATCACAATAGAGGGAACAAGCTATGCATTCAGGGGCCTATGGAAACTTTGTCATATGCTTGCAATTCAAACATGGTATTTGCTCATAAAGTGAAATGACTACACTCTAATAAAGTTCCATTATTTTTGTTTATGATTAAAGGTTTATAATCTGCAAGTAATTTAGGGGGCAATCTGATTACTAAAGAGGGGAAAATCTTATTTTTGTTAAGGTGGCATACACTTTAAGGAAAGGGCAAGTCTATTTTATCCCAGGAAAAGTAGATTCCTCACTCTAAACAGACATTTTTGAATGACTTTCCTACATGTCCCTGTCTGAAATAACCACACTGTGACATCTGACCTTCATCTGAACCCATATATAAGTCTATTTGCATTCCGAACTTGAATTTACCCCATTTCCGGCTCATCCTGGTTTCATAGAAATCCCACTTCTTACTGCCTTGCCAAAACTTCTGACAGTGTTTGCTAGGTTCTTAATATAGGATAGATTCTTTTTCCAAATACAGCTCTCAGAAAAGAAATCTGTCTGTGGTACTTTATAAACATTGATGTAGTTGTAGTTATTGTACAATGATAAAATATAAATCATAAAGCCAATTTTCTTTTTCCATATGCCTTAATATTCATGTCATGTTCTGTATGCTAATTTAATTAGGCACTGTTTTTCATTTTTATTTACTAGTGATTA